AGCACTTTCTTGCACCCTTTCCTTTGTGCCTATACCAACCCTGGCAATTGGGAATCATATTCCCCATTTGACTAATAGGTAAACTGATGCTCACCTACTTTGAAGAGATGAGCCTTCAAAGCTGATGTGCTCCTGCCAAGACTACACCCAGTGGTTAAGTCCACAGTGTTTGCTGCCCTCTCCTCCCTGTCCCACCCGTGGTGTTTATCTTTGTCGCTTGGGCCCAGGGGGATTCACATTTGCATCCTTCCTGGTCTCTTCTTGCTTTGTTCTGGATCCCGCCCTCTGCTGGCTCTACTCCAGGCCGGCCATCCCTGCTTCTATGGCCAGCGCACTCTACTCCGTTATCACTGCATCTGAGCATTCGCAGTGCGGCGGAGAACTTGACAGTGTGATTAGATAAGTGGAGGCGAAACAGGAGGATGTTCCAGGCCAAAGGCCAGTCATCTCCCCAACATCTGCTTCCCAGGGAAGGGGATGTGGCTCCTGGTCAGTCAGCCTTCGTTCAGCTGAACCCAGCAAGTGCATCTGGACCTTCCTCTCCCAGCTGCCAAATGCCTACTTGCTTTCAGGGCTCACCTTAGATGTCCTCTCCTTCCTTCCCTTCCCTTTGAGTCCTTGCCTTCCTTCCCTTCAGGCAGGGATAGGTGCCCCTCCAGAACACTCGCCCCTACAGTAGCGTTTGTCACACATATCTCAGTCCCCACACTACCTGGCCACCTTGCCCACTGCCCTGAGGTTGAGACAAGGTTGTGTGGCAGGCCATTGTCATGGTTAGAGCGAGGATGGGCTGTGGAGTCAGACTGCCTGGGTTTAAACCCCAACTACAGCACTTTGTAGCTGTGCAACCCACTTAGAGGATGAGTTTCTACATCTGTAAAACCGGGCTAATAAGCATACCTCACCAAAATGTGTTTAGGAGGATAAACTGGCATAGTGTTCAGAAAGCATTCAGCCTTGTGCAGGGTACACAGTAGGGGCGTGGTATATGCTAATTATTATTATGTGTATATCCCCAGGGTGTAGTAAGTGCACAGGTAAGGGAGAACACCTGGGGGAGGGAAGAATTGATTGAACTAAGAAATGACAAATGATTGAATGGATGATGAATAAGTCGTACGAGAGTTTTAGTCAAGGTTCTCCATAGAAGCAGAACAGGGGCAGGGGAAGAAAGGTAGTGATTTATTATAAGGAATCTGCTTGCACAATTACGGAGGCCAGGAAGTGCCATGGTCTGCCGTCTGCATGCTGGAGACCCAGGGAAACCAATGATGTCAATGACTAGTGGCCTGAGAACCTGAGGGCAGGACAAGATGAGATGAGATGTCCCATTAGTGAGGCAGAAACAGGCCCATTCCTCCTTCCTCCACCTTTTGTTCTATTCAAGCCCTCAACGGTTGGATGATACCCACCCATGCTGGGGAGGGCAATCCACTTTACTGAGCCCCTGGTTTCAAATGCTAATCTTATCTGGAAACACATAACCCCAGAAATAATGTTTAATCTGGGTACCCATGGCCAGTCAGGTTGACACAAAATTAACCATCACATACAAGCATGAGGATAAGAACAGAACAGGACCCATAGTATCCTGAGTCATTCCTCCCCGCCAGGTTATGTGGAGGCCACTGTCTCTGGGGCTGCTGCATCTATAAATCACCTACTTTGTACAAACAAACTGTAGTCTCAGAGGCACATTCCATGCTGATCAGAAACAAGGAAGGGTAGTCAGAAGGTGAGATGGCAAAAGACTGGGAGATGGGGGGAGGGGGAGTTGGGAGAAGATGCTTGCTTAAGTCTTCAAGCCATCCTAGAGTCGGTCAAGCAGAGGCGGCCAATTTGTGAAACCTTCACCAGCTCCTGGGAGTAGGCCCTGAGCTTCGGCTGCTAGGAGAGGGCAGGCATCCGAGCTCAGTGCTCTGGCCTTCTCCTGCTGCCCAGGTGCGACCCTCCCACCCCCTGGAATGTGGCCAAGCTGGAGATGTAATCAGCAGAATTCCTCTGGCTTCGCAGAAAATGCTCCTGTGAGAGGGAAAAGAGCAGACAGGTTGGGACCATGCGAGTCCTGCTTCTTGTGCCGGAACAGTTGCCCCATTGTAATGAGCCTGTGCAGCGGAGTGGCCATCACATGCAACTCTTTTATCGTTGATGCATGCGTAGGTGGGCGCGTCAGTTTCACCCACTTTTGCTGCTGTTTGCTTGCTGAGCTGTTTCATGTCTACCAAACTGTATGCAACATCTCCCTGCCTGGGTTATCAGAACTGAACATATCAAAAACTGGAATCGTGCGATGTGTGGAATCATAGGTGGAGAATCCACTGGCTGATGGAGTGCTCTGTGCCCGTCAGCATTTCTTCATAGTCTGCTTTATGTCATTAAAAGTCTCTGGCTCAGGAGAGAAAAACCTTCTGCATCTACAATGAATTCACACTCAGGCCAAAAAGGTGCCTAAGATTGTGCTTGGTTACTAGTTGCATGTGCAGGGGGAGTGTGCACCATGGTGATGATTTGGGAAAGGGCTACCCCACATTAAAAAAGATGAGGTTCTTTTTGTAGAAGGAAAGACACTTGGTCACTTGGCTCCGTGGGAAGGGAAGTTCTTCCTGGAGTAATTTGTGACTGAAAATGAACCCTAAGCCATGGGACACCATGTGTGAGGAGGAACCAGCTCTCCAAAAGAAATAAAACCAAGCTGGGGCCCCGCGATAACCATCGGGAGGGGGCGGGCAGCTTGCCCAGAGTCAGAGGTTTGCTTTGCTCTGGGCATCTCTTCTGACAGGTTTTCCCCAAACTGGGAGTAAGCGCTTGTCAAGTATATTAAAAAACTTAGAAAGGAGGAGAACATTTGAATGGCCCCTCGTTCGGGGCCCTTTGGGGTTTCCCCACTTATATTTTTAACAGCTCAGGCCTTGGCAGGTCTAGCTTTCCAGTTGGCAGAGACGGCGTGGAAAATGCACTTCATTCTCCAAGTTGTGCCTGGGGATCTGGGTTTGGACCTAACAAAGGGCAGAGGAGAACCAGCACTGGGGACCTTTGGGGGCTCCAGAGCCAACTACAAGACACCAAGGTCAAACAGCGCCCCTGCTGCTGCGCTTCGCCTGCTTCCCCAGGGACGCCTGTGGCCAGAACTGCCTGTGGCGGCTAAGGGCACAGTGTCCCGTAACTGCTTTTCTTGCAGAATGAGCATTTCCCTGGTAGCCTGCCCTTGATAGTCTTAATCCGTCCCCTGTCCCTAAGAAGTGAAATCATATGAGGAAATAGGGAAATACTATTTGCCAAGGGCATATATAGCAGTTCTCATGAAGTGTTGAATAAAGTGTGTGGGTGGGGTGGGGGGGAGACTGTCGATGGGGGAAAAGAGGGACATCTGTAATACTTTCAATAATAAGGAGAAAAACATTTAAAAGGGCATATACATTTAACAATGGATTCTTTTTTTGCCTTCTCTCACCCTCCCCTCCTCCCTCCCTCCCTTACTTCCTCCTTCCCTTCTTTTCTTCTTCCCCTTCCCTCCCTCCTTCCCTTTTCCGCCCTTCTACCCGGCCCTCCCTCCTTCCCATCCACCTACTCACCCCTCTATTCATCCATCCATCCTCCTTTCATCCTTTAGTGGGTGAACCACAGGCCAGTTTTATGGCCACTTCTCAAACTTAATGGACCAAGTGTGGAAGAAAAGCAAGGATCTCTATCCAAAGAGGGAGCTAAGAGTTACAGTGGCTCAGGTCCTGAAGGCAGGGTAGGTGCCCGCTGTTGGTAGAACAGGCAGTGAGTAGGGGGGTGCTTCAGCACTGTTTGGATGCTAGCACACTGGGTCCTATAAGGAATCCTAACCTGAGGTTCATGGGTGCCACTTGGGAGCTCTCTGAATGGCCTGAAACTTTAGGCAAAATGTATGTGCATGTTCCTGGGGAAATGGTCCACCAGAACCACCAGATTCCCAATTGCCCAAGCCATCTGTGGCTTGCATTGTTGTGTCGTAGTAGTTTAAGCACATGAACTCTGGGGTCGTGCTGCCTGGATAGCAAGGCTGGCTCCATCAGTTACCAGCTTTGTGATCTTAAAGAATTATTTAATATCCCTGAGCTTCAGTGATTCTGCTACTTCATGGGTTAAATGGGATAACATAGGCAAAACAGATAGCAATGGGCATGATACATCTAAGGGGCTCAGTAAATGTTAGTAACCATTGGTGCTTTGGTGTCTAGAAAGAGCCATAAAGCACCAGTGTTCTAGTTGAAAGGTAAGCTCTAAAGCAAAGTACAGCATCCATGGCCTGTGAGCCAAATCCTTCCCCCTAGCTGCTTTTGTAAATAAATTTTATTAGGACACAGCCACACCCATTCCATTACGTATTGTTTATGGCTGATTTCAAAACACCAGTGCAAAAGTTGAGTGGTTGTGACAGGAACTGTTGGCCTGCAGAGCCTGTAATATTTACTAGCTGGCCCTTTACAGAGGAGCATTTGCCAACCTCTGCTGTAAACAATTAGAAAACAATAAATAACATATCTCCCCTGGAGACACTCGCAAGTGCACAGGAGGCATAGACAAGGATGTTTATAACATCATCATTTCCCTGTCAAATACCTGGGAACAGTCTGTCAATCAGAGGAGAAATGCTGGGGCTCATACTATGGCAGATTAAAAGAATACCCGCTACCCTATTGAGTCTTATAGATACGTCACGTGGAAAAGTCTCCAGTGGGGATTGTTGAGTGAAAAAAACCAAGGGTGTTACCATTTGTGTAAAACATGCAAAACATAGTGTATACTTCCTACTCGTTCATATGTGAATATGCAAATGCATTGAAAGGACTCTGGGAAAACATGCAACAAATGGATAATATTGCTCACCTTTGAGGAAGAATGGAGCTTGGAGGTTTTTGTCAATAGAGACTTTAGCCCTATCCATAATGCTCTACATTATGACTGGGAGAATGCATTCATGTATTTCTTGTTTAATTAAAATTGACTTCGGAAGTGTTGTATATAAAACGTAAGACTCTTGGGCAGAACATTGAGGGATGGACATGATTTCGATAAGTGGAACCCTGGGATAGAAACATGTTGCCAAGCAGAGAGACCAAGAGCAAAACAATGGGGCTGGGAAGGTACTGATGTCACTGGTGTGGCCTGTGGAAGGCAGGAGAAGGTGAGGACTGGGGAGGAGAAGCGGGCAGTTAGCACAGAGGGAAGTCCTTTTTTACAGCAGAGGTCCTGAAGGGGACTTAAAGCCTTACACCTGTTGTCACATTGGGACACTCGAGAGAGGCAGCAGGTGGGAAGGTCATGGATATTTACAATGAGGCTGGACAGGACTTGGGGTCCATCTGGCCTGCCAGACTAGCGGTGGAGGCTTACTCTTCTCAATCCCACCCCCTTGGGTCTTGCGAAGTCTTTACATTATGTTCTAGCACTAGGGGACCAGAGAACTGGCTCTGCTTCTCAGAGCTACATAAAACTGACTAGATGTGGTGTTTAGCTTTAGGAGAAAAAAAGGCCCGTTTCTAAAACAGTTGTTATAACATGTAAAAGTGCCAGTCAGATGTGGTTTGGGGTGAGACGACTCTGCATTCATATTTTTAACATGAGGAAATCCACCCAGTTGGAGAACTTAAAAGTGCTTCCCGGGATGAGCAGTAGTTGCACAATGTACAAGAGGAAACTGCAGACCCGGGCTCTGGTTTGGAACAAGGGTGTGCCCTGGCTCTGAGCACTTGGCAGACACAAGGAAATAAGGTTTCAAAGCAACAGAGATGACTGTCAGACTTCATCTCTTGGATCCGGCGGTAGGGAAGCAGCCATCCCGTGCTGTCTCTCTCCACCCCACCATGGTCCCTGTGAGCATGAGCCACCCCAGGTCCTCTCCGGGCAGGCTGTGTTGGCAAGCTGTTTCTGTAGTCACACAGTAACTATTTCAGACTTGCAGGACATGTTGTTTCTATCACAACGACTCAGCTCTGCTGTTATAAAGCAGCCGTAAACAGTACGTGGATGAATAGGGATGGCTGTGTTCTAATAAGACTTTATTTATAAAAACAGTGGCAGTTTAGATTTGGCCATGGGCCATAGTTCACCAACCTCTGTTCTAAAGAAATGTTTCTACACCTTTATGCCTCAGGGTGTCAACACTGTTCTATCCCTAGGGAATTCATAGTATGTTAGGAGGTAGTTAAGGACAGTGGCTTTGAATTCTGGCCCAAAGTCCTTATTAGCTTTGTGACCTTGGACATATGGTGGGATCTCATGAGCCTTGGTATCCTCGTCTGTAAGATAGGGATAAGCCCCGCCTCCCTGGGTTCTTTGAATATACAGTTGGGTTAACAAATGGAGGGAGGATCGCATAGTAGGTAAGAATATTAGACTCAAATCCTGGCTCTAGCATTTATTAGCTGTGTGATTTGGGGGCCAGGTTCCTTATGTTTCTATTCCTCAATTTCACCATCTGTAAAGTAGGTTTAATAATGACCCCAGTTTCGTAGTATGCCAGGACTATGATGGGAGTTCCCAGGTAGGAAGAGCTTAGAGCAGCACTGGGAACATAGTGCACTCAAGAAACATCAGATGCCGGTAGTAATTACTTCTATTATAAGTTCTTGGTTTTAAATAATAATCGATTTTTACCTGCCTTAAACATTAATAAATTATAGCCAATTCAAGCAGTCCTTATACCAGGTCACTTTTACTCCCTTGCATCGCAATATAAATTTTTTCAAGAGGGTGACAAATGAATGGAGCATCAGTTTATGATCAGCTAGCCTAGCCTGTCTCATATCTGGCACAACTAACGGGGGACGCAAGTAAAGTCTCCTAATAATATGTTAATTGTTGTAAAAGAATAAAAACCTTAAAAAGCATGAGTTACTCTATAGGAAAATTTTAATTCCCATTAATTGGCAGAAAACACAGTCTCCCAACAACAGTTGGGATTGTTGGGGGGCAGGGGTGCATGAGGGTTTCAAACAAAATCTGAGAACATTTAACCGAGTGATTGTCTTGGCTCCACAGCACAGTGCCAACCTGGGCCAGTCAGCCCCTGTCCCCCACCCTACCTAGCCCTGGCCACAGGTCAGAATGGACAGGTGACCTGAGTTTGCCCAGTTATAATCCATCCCAGGATTTTGCTGGGCTTTGGGGGGGGAAATAAACCTTTTTTTCCTACTGGAACTACTAAGCTGGTAGGATCCAAGCCTGGAGGAGGCAGAGACCACTGTAAGAACAGGGCTTGCCTACGAATGCAGCCAGCAAAGAGGAAAGCGAGAGAGAGCAATGCTTGACGTTACTTTTCCCAGATCCAGCTGTACCCGGATCCTGTTAACCCCCATACTTTAAAGTTATAAATAAATGTTCATTGTTCTTAAACCAGTTTCTGTCACTTCTACTTCAAAGAGGCCTGACAAATATATCCAACCTTTTATGCTGTGACAGAAAAAAAATGCAGATCATTTTTCAGAACTCTGCTCTGGATAAAACAAGGCAAACTTTCCTCACTTCCTCAAACCATTTCGAAATAAGCCAGTAGACACACCGGATCAGGCCGGGCTAACAGTTGCAAGGAACAGACATCCACACTGGCTGAGGTAAACAGCAAATTTATTTATAGAAAATAAATCCGGTGGGCCTCAGAATTGCTAGAGATCTAAAAATTGAGCTCCAGATGGGGGTAGGAACAAGGGCAGTTGGTGCACCAGCACCACGAAGGGCCAGGATGGAGAGAAGGCCCCTGCCAGCCCTGGATGCTGGTCCTGCCAGTAGACAGCCTTCTCTCTGGCACTGCTGCCCCAGAAATGGGCTGTGCTGCCATCCCTGCAAGCACTCTGCATGCCTACTGCTTTTTCATCAAAAATACAGACGCTAAATCCCAGGCAGGCGCATCTGATTGGCTGAGCCTAGGTCACCTGCCTGCTCTAGTTGCAAAGGAGGCTGGGAAAGTGATCTGGCCATTCTGACTTCTAGAGTGGAAGGCGAACTGCACCTTCCCCTGAGGCTTTAGAGAGGAAAGAAAAATGAAAATGGAATGGAGTGGAGCAGAGCGGAGTAGCATAGGAGTAAATAAAATAAGGTGGCACATACCCCGTATGTTCTATCTTTCCTTTCCTAGGAATGCTGCCACTCTGCATGGGCATCTGCTCACCATTCTTGGCCTTCAGCAACTGCCACAGCTTACTCCTGCCTCCTGTGGATCATCCAGAACCTATATCCTCACCAACCCCGCCCACCTCTTGAGTCACTTTTCAGGTCCACTCAGTGATTTCCCTGGGACCTGTTACCTGCCTAGGCCGTCAGCCTTGGGTAACGTGATTTCCGCAAGGCGCTCAATCCAGCTCACTCCACCTGCGAGCAGACTCTAAATCCGCCCACTGAGTGATCAGTAATTATCAGGCCAGGGCAGCCTCGCTGCATGACTCTGCACATGTCCACTTTGCATTGTGGGAAGGAGAGTCGGGCAAGGAGCAGCACTGAGGAAACCGCAGGTCCCATCAAGCCTGCCCTCCTTGTCATTTTCCTATTGTCTCCCTAGAAACTAATCCCATTCCTATTGAAGACTGCACAGCGAGGCTGCTTGCTTCACTGATCGTCAAGGTAGCTTATCCCCTTGTTAATTAACTACTTAGAAAAGTGCTGTACAACACTGGTGCTTGGCTTCTAGCTTGTTAACACAGGAGACTCCAGAGAAACTTTGACCTGGCCCGTGGCTGTGAGTTGGATGACTCAAGAGAAAAAGAGGTGCTTTTCTCCCCTTGGCTCGCCATCACTTTAAAGGACTATAGATAGGAAGAGTGGGAACACAGCTGTCGTGGGACAGTGTTTGCTGCCACTTAAAGCAGAGAGAGTCCCTTGCAGGGCCTTCAAAGGTGGGGGCCAGATTTATAGGGTAGAGAAACCTCCAGAGTAGAGTCTGGGTCATGTCTAGAAATATTAGAATCTACTAACCTCTTCCTTTGGTCAAAGATCAGGTGTGGCATAAAACCTAAATTCAATTTAATATGTATTTGTCTCCATTATATGCTGATTACTATGCTGAGAACTAGGGTAAGACATAGTCCTGCCCTCACGATCAGTCTAATACGACAGATAAGATAATGGAATAGGATAATGCAAAGGGACAGTAGGCTACAGGGGTAAACAGGGGGTGCTGATGGGAACGTATGGAGGAACATGGTGTTAGTTTCCTAAACTGCTGAATCAAATTAGTGCAAACTTATAACTTAAAACAACAGTCCCAGAGAGCAACAGCCTGAAATGAACGCATCAGCAGGGCTGTACTCTCTCTGGAGGCTCCAGGAGAGAATTTGCTTTCTGCCTCCTCCAGCTTTGGGTGGATGCCAGCATTCCTTGGCTTGTGGCTGCATCACCCAATCTCTTGTCTTCACATTACCTTTTCTTCTGTGTGTATGTCTCCCTCTGCCTCTCTATTGTAAGGATACTTGTGATGGCTTTTAGGGCCCATTCAGAACATCCAAGATAAGTTCCTCCTCTCAAGATTCTTAGTTGCATCATATAGGACATAAAATAAGATTGTCATGTAATGTAATATTCAGAGTTTCTGGGAATTAGGAAATGAATATATCTTAGGGGTGGAAATTTTTCAGCCTACCAAGGACCCTAAGCCTAGATCCCATAGGAATTAAGGACTTCTGGCCCTAGGCTTGTTTCCATTCTCCATTTCCCCCCTACTCTGTGGATCGGGGGGCCAGTACCTGCCAGCCGAGGTTCCCAGGTTCTCATGTGAGCTGGCTTCCATCTGTGTCCCAGCAAGGAGAGGCATGGGGTAGGGGCTGGGAAGGAGAAGCCAGGATATTTCTTCTTCTTTGTCTAAACACCCTCTCTGGTAGTGGCTATGTCTCCTTTGTGGTTGCATCTCCCGCCAGAGGGGTCCCTGGGCTCTGGTAACAGAGCCTGTTCCCTTTGTGCCTCCAGCCTAGGGGTGGGAACAGCTTCCTGCTGTTGCTTATCTATGGGCTAGCTCAGCATCCTCTCTTGGTGTCTCGGCTCCTCTATCACCACACAACCAATTCCCTGCATTAAATTCTTCCTGTAGGAAATACTTAAAGTGGTTTCTACGTTCCTGGTAGGTCCCTGACCTATGCCAAATCCAAGTTTAGACTTGAAGGATGGATAGTCTAGGAGAGGGTGGAGAAGTACTTCTGTGCCAGGAGGTGCAATGGTGAGCCACACAGACTCTTTGGAGCCCACTGAAATGGAAAACACAGACACTAATCAACTCAGCACCCAAATAAATATGAGTGCAAACAATGTCGGTGTATGAAGGGGAAGTAGGATGGATTTAGAAAAATACAATTTGGGGACACCTGATCCAGGATGGAGGGTCATCAGGGCTCCCAGAGGAGCGGTGTGTGAGCTGAGATCTGAGAGCTGAGTGAGGAGGGAACCCAGCTACGCATTGCAGAGAGAGCGTAAGGCATATGCACCAGCCCTGATGCACGAGATACACTCTCAAGGGTCTGAAAGAAGATAGATGTGAGTAGAGAACCAACAGCCCAAGTAAGGGGCTTCACCAAGAGGGGCAGAGAGGTAAGCAGAAGGCAGGTGGTTCCGGGTCTTGTGAGATTGGGTTTAGAAAAGAAGGCAAGTGGTATTGTTTCCTTGGAGCAGAAGGCAATGTAGTCTGAGCTAGCAGCTGCCTAAGGTAGGCCTTGAGTTAGCCACTGGAGCCCAGGTGCAGAAGCAAAGCTGCTGCAGGGTTGAGCAACCAATTTCCTCCTTACAAAATGAAGTGGCACACATGGACACAGAGGCCACAGGAGAAAATCTCGGTTCCAGCAAGAGGAGGAGGTTTCTGGAAGTTTCCAGCCACAGGGGCTAGCCCTTGAACTCAAAGGCCGATAGCCAGAGTGGCGGATGGAGAAGATCGTGGCTGTGGCCAGGAAGGGGTCTAGTTCTCGGTGGTGGTGTAATTACTGCTCCCTCCACACTACAGCCCTCTCTCTGGTCCTGCTCACTCTTGGGCTGGCTGTAAATCCCTGGTTCAGAAATGCTGGTTTTATGCTGTGGTTCTTTGGGGGTTGGCTGTTCCAATGCCCATGGTTTTTGTTGTTACTGTTGCTGTTTTTGTGGAGGCAAAGACTAACTTTTAACAAAAAACATTGACAGGTCTGTAGGGGGCAGTGGGGATGTCAGCATTTTGCAAATCCCTGCTGGACCCTTTGTAATACATGTTGTGTCTTCCACATACAGCCTGGCCAAGATGAGAACAAGTTAGGAGGGAGGACAGGCTTTTTTCACCTCCAATACCAGATAGACAGCCCCCTCACTCCCACCCCCCCGCAACAATAGGAAGGGCAACTGCTTAATTCCTACCTCATCTACAGCCATTTCCTTTGTTTCCTTCTGGAGAGCAGCCAGCCTGGAAAACAGCAGTAGGACCATCTACAAACGTACAAAGACATCTAGGGAACCTCCCTGGCCTCCTGCCTCCATTGCCCACCTTCTTAGAAGCCAGGGATGTCCCCACTTGTAAGTGGCCTGGGAAGAAGAGGATGCAAGATAAGAGAAAGAATGTGAGGAGGGATTGAGGTGATACTAATTCCTTTCAGAACTCCAGACAGTGATTCTGGATTCCTGGGTTCTGTTCCTAGCTCTTTGCCCTCCTGCCAGTCATTTCTGTTTTGTTCATGTGCAAAACAGCAGGGGGGAGGGGGGACTGTGTAACCTCTAAGCGCAAAAACAAGTGATTGTGCTCCTGGCCTTGACCATCCTCACAAGTGCATAGCAGTTGATTGTGTAGGATGCTGAGCTTCTGAAGGACATGTGGCTGTGAGTGGAGCCACCCTCGGCTTTAGATGAGGGCCGGGGTTTCTGCTGCAGAAGCTCACTACCTCAGTCTGAGCCTCTGACATGATTTGGGGAACACCCATGGGATAAAGTTGATGCTCACTCTCCGGGCTTCCAGCTGGTACTCTGTGGCCAAGTCAGCTAAGGTTTGAAAATGCCAGCATCGGGCCACCTTTGAAAGAAGGCAAGATGGTGCTGCCTGGCGATGCCCACGTCATCTCTGCCTGTGCCTGGGACACGCTCTCTATCGAGCTGTGAAAATCACAGGAGGAATTCTCACAGATGTTTGTTATTCCAGAAACTGGAGAGAAGATGGCTTAGTGTTAGGATGGGCAGGCATTGCAGATGCTGGCTGGTCCCTCTAAGGCTGCGATCTGTCTTGCTGAGCTGGGCAGGCTGTGTTTGGTTTGGGTGTTGACACCAGGTGGTTCTGACTCACAGCAGCCACCTCCTTCTTGTTTCTGTTTCATTAAGGCTTAAACAGCCATGCATGTGGCCTGGATTTGGGGGATTGAGGTGGATCTGGAAAATTGAAAGTCCTTTAAGTTTTGCAGGTTATCTCTGAGGGAAATACCAGAGAGAACAACTCTTTTTTCCTCCTCTGTTACTGCTGCGTTAGTTGACAGAGTTTCAGGGGGATTAATTGACTACAGAATGATTTGCATTTTATTGCCCAGGCCTGCTCACTGGGTCAGAAGATGTCATGAATGCAGAAGGCCCAGGTTGTTGACAGCCTCAGAGACAGCGGGCCACTCCACAAAGAAATTGGACCAGCTGTTCTCGGCTGTTCTCATTCTCTGAAACTCTGTGGTGTAATAAGCCACATGTGTTTCCAGCTGATATGTTCTGGCTCTGAGACTCAAATTTTGTGTTTCTCCGGGACCCAGGGAAGCAAGTGAGCCTGAGCAGGAGTCGGGCTGAGTTTAAGAAAGCAAGAAACCTGGGGTCTAGCAAAGATTGGATTTGATGGCAACCCAGTAAAAAATTTCTCTAAAACCAGGGTAGAAATCTAATGTATTGTTGGTGCTGTTGAACTTGTAAAAAGTTTATATCTGCACGTTTCTTGTTGTCTGTGCAGGGAGTAGACACTCCTGCTGTGAGTGGCAGGTAGCATGAATGGGTGAACTCGGTCAGGTGGCCAGGAAAGGGAACTACCCGCCCTCACCTCCGGCCCCCGGCCCACAGGGAGCCTTTGTGAGAATTAGGAAAAGGGGCCCTTCTTCCCTGTGGAAGCCAACTGGCCCAGCTTTGACTCAGCCCTTTTGGGCCCCTGAACCGGCACTACCCACCCCGCCAAATGCCGTGGCCCGCCCACTGCTCAGCTCAACACAACGTTTGTCACGCAGGGGTATGGACCCAGCTTGCCAGCCACTTCTGATTTTATTTT